CCGGCATTGAAACAATTCCAGGCACACCATGGAAAGCGTTCCGGAGCTACCCAGACGTGTTTCGGTCGCAACCTCATGATCATTCTGATCAGCTGCAACTGGCCTTGGAAGGTTGCCAGGTCTCCATGCTCCTTGGTGAATCGTTCTGACCTACCCCCTTGTTTATTGACCTCTTCTGCTAAACGGCTGTTCGGCTGTGCATACACTTCTAGCAAATCGATGGGTTTTCCAAATGCTTTACCTACTGCTGCTGACTTGGCTGCTTGAATGAGCTTGGCTTCGAAGGCGGTTTCGACGATAATTTGGCTATCTGATATCAGGGTTTCCCAACTTCCTTCCTTACTTAGATCAACCCCTGGCTCTGGTGCAGCTGTTGCTCCATCTGTTGCCACGTTTGGCAGTAACGAGCGAAATCGCCGATCTGAGCATCCAATGAATTGATGCGGCTTAAACACCAGCTCACATACTGGCTGTCTTGTTCGTAGACTGCCTGGTATGTTTTCCCAGGGTGTTTCTTTCCCCAGGTCACACGCTTCATTCCCCACTGCTCCATTGCCGTGGTTGTCCAAGCGAGGCTCTGATTGGGCTGACCGCCCATTGGCTCGGTTCCGCTCGATGGGCTCCCACGTGGAGGTGTCTCGGGAGAGGTTCTTTCCAACATGGTTGCCATTCCAACCACACGACTTTTCGTCTGAGGGGCAAGGAAGCTTCCTTTCCCGGCTGCCGTCGATCGCCCTCGATTCGGTGGGGATGTCATAGGTGTCGTCTGCGCACCATGTGTCACCGAAGATGCCTTGGCTGCTGGTAGCTGTTGATATACACGGACCTCTTGGTCCCACACTTCCAGATCGCTCTCTGTCAGCAGAGTGAATGCCTCGTCCCGGCGACTTGGCGACAGTGCTTGATTCTTCATCAGGTCGGCCAACTCCTCGATTTTCTCCTTCTGAGACTGAACCTCGTTCATGAGCTCGTTCATCATGGTGGCTTGTTCCATCGGAACTTCCTGACTCGAGACCTGGGTGGCCACTTGATTCAGGAGAATCATGAGCAGAGTCTGGAGTCTGGAGTGACTGCACCACGTTCTCGGCGATGTTCTTCACCATTTGCAGCATCTCGCCACGAGTGGGCATCTTGCTCGAAGATCTGCGAACTTGCTTTCGAATCACTGCTTGCGCAAAAAATGCTTTGGCACTCGCTTGATTGGCAAAGATCTTGAAACCTAATCATCAACAAACCTGTCCTGCCTTCGAACAAATGTAGACTCTTCAAGAAACACGAATTGCTCTGCAGATCAATCACGGTTCCCAAGCGTTTCATCGTTTGTATGGAAAGCAAAAACGGTGTTCCTCGTGGTACTGCTTCTATTATCAACCACATGCGTGTCTTGCCCTGATCTATTGGGATATGGATTTGCTTGTAACTATATTCTATTTGGTTGTTGCCGAAACGAAATGCGATTCTGCTGGCTTTCTCTTTTACAAGTCTCCGGACGTGCTCAGGTAGTTGGCTCATGAGCTTTGGGAGATGCTAATCTCCAATGACACTTCGGCTGGCCCCTGTGTCTAAAAATGCCACGCCGTTGGTTTCAACCTCTGAGGCTTGACCAGTCTTACTGGTATGTCCTGCCTCTGGCGTCTCGGCTGGACGACTCTGCTTGGACGGTTTCATTGTCCTGCCAACGGTGAGCACACTTGGTTTCCTATGCAAAAAGAAAGCTTGGGTTCTATCAATTACGGCTTCGGAAAATATATCTCGGCCGAATGCTCTTGCATTGATGGCTGGTTGATCGAACATGCATTGAGCTCTTTCGGATTGACCTTGGTTTTGATCCTTTCGTTTCGCTGAACCCCAACCTCTGGATCGGATGCAATTGCTTCGAAAAGAACTTGTTCTGAAAGATCTGGGTCCAGTGCTTCCTGAGCCGAGGCCACGTTGGCCTGTGATTCCTTTGCCTGGCTTTTCAAAGGACATTCTGCTTTCCAATGTCCAAGTTCTCCGCATCGTTTGCAATGGGTCCTTGCAATGCGAGCCAACAACTCGTCTTTGCCCTTGGACTGGCCCTTTCGAAAGCCTTTCTGCCCTGATGCACCGAATCCCTTGCCTGCTTTGCCAGCGGGAGAGCTTCTCACCGGCCAGAATCCACGATTCCTCTTTCTATCGGTGATCCGGCCTCTTGCCTCCTGGTAGCTCAGCAGAGCCGAGTGTAGATCGGGCACCTCTTGGAAAAGGTCTGTCAGCTCCCTTTCGAAGGCTTGAACTGTCATCGCATCAGCACCTCCAGCTAAAGCCATCTGTTCCAGGGCTTCCTGACTGAGATCTTCTTCATCAGCTTGCATTGCCAGGGCACTCTGGTCAGCAAAATGCTGGTCGTTCTCGGTGTCCTGGCTCTCATCGACATAGTTGGTCGGATATACTTTCTTCTTTTCAACTCCAGATCCTGACAGGACTGCCGTTGAGAGACTCCTCATTGCATTCGCAATTGAATCCTTGTCGAAGTTCCCTCCAGTCATAGTCAAAATCTTCTTCTTGTCCTCATGGGTCAGGCTGCTTTGTTTCAACAGTACAAATGCCACCACTGTCTTCAATGTTGTATCTGCGCCAACCTCTTCAAATGCAACATCCAACCGATTCACAAATGACTGGGTTGATTCGTCGCTCTTCTGGATGGTCTTGTGCAATGCCTTTTCAAACAGCTCGAAAGTACGGAGCTCCGCACTTTCCTCCCAGGCGGACAGCGCCTTCAACAGGTGCTTCACCCCGTGATCGGCGCTCGTGAGATCTTCTGGCTTGATCTGTCTCACTTGATGCCACGCAGTCCCCTTACACAGCATAGCGAGCCTTGGTGCCAGCATGGGCTTGTCCTTTTTCGGGCATGTGCCCTCCAAAAATCTCACCTTAGCGATGTACTCCTTCACATCATCAACGCTGGGGTCAAAAGACGGCAGCAGAGTCCAAATCGCATTCGACGATTTATCGCCACTTCCCGATGCCATGGCTTCCTAGTGTCCTCACCAGGCCCCTTTGGGCTCCGCTACCAATGTGGCTGCGATAGCAACCACACTGGTAGCTTCCTTGCCCACCTTCTTTGGGGTCTTCAACCCTCAAACCAAACACCAAAGGTCGGACCTCCAACCTTCCTCCCCCTTCGCACCCTTTTCTGGTGCTCTGCCTGTCCGGTGTCCTGTC